GGTATCGGTGCCGCCACTGCCGTACAGTTCTCCAGAGCCGGTGCTAATGTTGTGGTCACCGGTAGACGAGCCGATAAAGTGTCAGAAGTGGCCAAAGAGTGTCTCAAAGTATCACCGAAACAGTCGAAAGCACTGGAAGTGGTGGCGGATGTGACTAAACCGGAAGACTTGCGACGACTTGTGGACACAACTGTCAAACACTTCGGGAAACTCGATGTTTTGGTGAATAACGCCGGCGCCGGGATTCCCACTAACATCAGTGATAAGGATTTCTATGAAAAATTTCAGAAAATAATGCAAATAAATCTCAATTCTGTGGTCTATTTAACGCATATATGTGTCGAGCATTTGGAGAAAACAAAGGGAAATGTAATCAACATTTCAAGTGTCGCTGCTTTGAGAGCCGTAAGTCTATAATAACTAAATTCTTAATAACAATTGTAAATGAGTATTATAATTTATAAATTAACTATTATTTCTTTATTTATTAATAAAAAGTTTGCGGGCGTATCGCCATACAGTGTGGCGAAGTGTTTTTCTGGATATGTTCACCAAATGTATGGCCGCAGAGTTAGGACCTAATCGTATCCGCGTTAATGTCATCAAGTAAGATTTTAAAACAATATCATGAAAAAATTAGTAAACAATTTATTTTATTTATAAACAGTCCTGGACCAGTTCGGACGGGCATATTAACTGCTGGTGGTTTTAAACAGGAACAATCTGACCAATATTTTGACGCCTACTCCAGTATATTGCCTGTGGGTCGCGCTGGTTATCCTGATGAAATTGGCTATTCTGTACTTTACCTTGCCAGTGACCATGCTGCATTTGTCACGGGCACTAACCTAGTATCAGATGGTGGCGCCACTGCTGCCAACGCTCTAAACGTCCAAAATCTTAAAGATTTGAATAAACTCTGATAACAACAACAATTATATTTTAAGCATTTTATTATAAATATGTAACATGTTGTAATATCGATTATCACACAAATAACTTGGTTATTTCGGGCATAACCACAAGTGTCCATGAGGGCAAATATGGGCATTATTACAGTACTTGTAATCATTTTATTAAAAACTAAACACAAATACCATAACACATGTATGAGAAGAGATTAATAATTACTAATAATGAAAGGGATTATAAAAATTGTATAAATAATATAACATTAATTAGGATTGACTCTAAAATTGAAAACTATAAATAACATCAATATATAATATCTGGACACCTCTGAACATAACTGATATATACTTATTGTATCATTAATTAAGAAATAGTAAATTCAATTTTTAAAAATTATCAAAACTTGTAATAATAAGAAATATTATATTCTACTCAAATATTTCTGTAAATTTAATGTAATGTTATCCACATTATCTTATTACTAAATAAAATACTTACTATTTGACTAAACCATGACAATGATTTAACTAACTTACAAGTTTGTCAAACACCAAAACAAATTCAGTATAATTGAAAATTTAAAAACAAAAAATTAATTTCAATATCAATATGCACATTGATGCAAATATTTTACTTGAAAACTTCTTTTCAAAAAAAGTAATAAACTTTTAGCAGATGTCTAGTCACTAAGGGTAGTGAGTTATTACCGGTATTTCTGAAGGTTAATAATAGTACTAATTTAAATCCATTATACAATAGGATGTTGTGATTATACAAATGATATGTTGAGATACTTCACACATTCACACTACTTGTTAATTCTCAATGGTGAGCAAATTTGGCCTTGGTCAGTGCACATTTGTTCATTGAGACAATATGAGGAATGGGGACTTAATACTGTATTAAAGTATCTATGATGAATTATCATTTATAAATAACGAACCCTAGGTTACTTTTTTACCAGCATCCCTTTACTACCATACAGAGTACTGTATGGGTTAAAACTGCTCTCTTATAAATAGATTGAAGGCCTGACAACCCTGATAGCCTTGGTAAGTTCACATTTTTGCAGTCGCTATATAAATACAACACTAAACTTGTAAATGTTACAAAAGTTTTATAATCACTACAAGTGTTTTTGATTTATATAATACTGGTCGAGAGTATTAAATTGTTATACCATTTCAAAAAATGTCTCTCCAATACAACTTCAGCGGTAAAGTAGTGCTGATCACAGGCTCGAGTGCGGGTATCGGTGCCGCCACTGCCGTACAGTTCTCCAGAGCCGGTGCTAATGTTGTGGTCACCGGTAGACGAGCCGATAAAGTGTCA